GTTCTGACAGCCATCAATGAAAACCTTGATAATTGCCCAGGTTTGGGAAGTGTGATAATCGTTGATACAGGTCGGGTACACTGTCCAGGTTTCTGATGGGCTTTTTCCCTGGTAGGAATCTCAGGCCCTCCTAGTGATTATACCAGCGTTCATTTGAGTCCATTGGAGCATCTGACTTTTTGCTTTTAGTTAGGGAAGAGATCCTGAAGATGTTCTTCAGATCAGCAGCATCGGTATCATCATCTGAAGCTTTTTAGGAATGCAGATTCTCGGGCTCTATCTCTACTTATTTGATCAGAAATGGAAATGCTCCGGATGGCTGAAATGAAGAGCCCTGGGCAGCTTCAGAATTTCTAGGAATTTTTAGCCAACCCTATCTCATGAAATCAACTCCCTTAGCTATTCAGTAAACAACTGATCATTCCCCACATATGCTATATTTCTGTGCCACGGACCAAATATATATCAATATATGAAGACAAAGATCAGGTCTGTCATGTTCATAGTATACCCTCTCATGAGGGGGCACATTTGCGGTAGCTAAAGACTTCTACTCTTCTGTCTTCCCCCACCCACACCACATGTCTGTTCATCTTGTTCATATCTTGTTCATATCGTCTTTTTTCATATTCTGGGCACACAGCTTGAAGGATCCAGGAAACCATTGGAAAGGTTTCTATTCCACAGAGGGTAAAAATGTATAACAGAAGAGAGGCCATGTATGTAAATAGCCATAAACATGATGGAAAACAGCAATGATAGTTGAGGGGGCGCTCAAGTTTGTAAAATGTTTTATGCCAGTAGTTATTCACTGAACATATAGACAGCCGGGAGACTGCAATAGAAGATAAGAAGTATAAAAAAGACAGGCACATCACTCAGAGTTACGTGTTTTATCATCTAGATAGAAGACAAATGCGAAACGCGCAGGCAAATGAGAGAATTGTAAATCGTGATCAGTAACGTGAAAAATAATGGGGAGTAATACGGAAGACCCGTCTTAGATAGAGTGATTAGACAATATTGCTCCGAGATGGCATTGTTTGAGCTGAGACACAAAGCCAGAGACCAGAGTCCTGGATATGAAAGGCAGAAGGAACATACAGTAAAGCATACCTCCACATAGACTTGCATATGGATTTGTAGCTAGAAGCAGAAGCAAGCAAATCTCCATCAACCAGGATCATCCATTGGATTGTGCTGTCAAGGAAGGTATGCTGATATCCTAAACCCCAGGGCCTCAGGATGTGGCCTTCTTTAGCAGCAAGGTCACTGTAGATGTGGTTCATAGAGATGAGGTCATCTTAGAACAGGAAAGCCCTTAATTTAATACGGTCGGGCGTCATTTGGAAGAGACCTTGACAGCAAAGGCAAAGACGGCTGAATGACAGCAACCACGAGAACCAGGGACGAAGCAAAGAAGGATTGTACCCAGAGACTTAGAGCATGACTCCATCCGCAACTCCATTTGTGGCTTTTAGACTGTAGAACTGTAAGAGCGTAAGTCTCTTCTCCTTTTAGCCAGTCTGTAATAATTCTGTTATAGCACTCCTAGGAAACTGATACAACCCACAAACAGATAAGCAAAATGTGGTATGTCCATATAGCAGAGTGCTATTCTTCAAGAAAAAATAAAGATCAAATTATATATGCTAAACTGTGGATGGGTGTTGAAAACACGCCAAGGAAGGGAATCCAGACACAAAAGCCCAGTTCATATATGTGAAATGTACAAAATAGACAAATAAGGACAGCTATCAGATGGGACATTACCCAGTGCTGGGACCAGAAACAGGAAGCAGCTATGAACGTGCATAAAAGATCTTCTTGGGGTGATAAAATGTTCTAAAACTGGGTTGTGATGATGGTTGTACAATGCCAGAAGCTTGCTGTGAATTATTTTGTTGTGCCCTTAACATTGGTAACTCGAGAAAACTTCTTTAAGAAATAAAGCAGAAGAGGTTTCAATGTGTTGTGGTCATTTAAAGTCCAGGGTGAGCTAGAGAATGGGGCAGATAGAGGAGCAGGGAAGACCCTAGGAGAATGTACTTCCAGGCTGGACCTTTTCAGCTGAGATTTTAGGATGACAAGATAGCCATTCAAGAATCTGACGCTAACTGTGTCTTGTCAGGAATATTTAGTAGCTCTAAAGAAGGTTGGAGGCTTATAAATATGTTAGAAAAAATAGCAAGGAAGAAAAACCACTTGAGTCCTTATCTTGGGGTTCATTTCACCTAACATCAACTTATCTGACCTTTTCTGCTTGACTCAGATATATACTAGTTATTGCAAATAAGGGAAACCATGGGACCTATGTTCCTTTGGGCCTGGCTAACTTCATTTAATACAATTTTTTCCAAGTCTTTCCATTTCCTAACAAATGGGGCAATGTCATTCTTTCTGATGGAGGCATAGAATTCCATTGTGTATTTATACCACATTTTCTTGATCCATTCATCTACTGAGGAGTATCTGAGTTGGTTCCATATGTTAGGTATGGTAAATAATGCTGCAATAAACATAGTGGTGATGGTGCTTTAGTATGGTCTTGTTTGTGATCATTTGGGTAAATGCCCAAAAGTGGGGTTGCTGGGTCATAGGGGAGCTCTATGTGGAGTCTTTAGAGGAACCTCTATACTGCTTTCCAATGATTATTTTATTGCTTTGTATGTCCCTCCCCCACGGTATAACCTGTTTTCACTGTATTTGATGTTGGTATAATTTGGGGAGGGGAAGGGAAAAAACAAATGGGTTAAATAGGGATACAGGTGGACCCATTGCAACAATGAGATGTACAGGATGCTGCGTTGAAAACCAGACTTTACAACTTTACGGAGGGGGAAGTATAATCGTGGAGATGGGAAGGTAGGTTTGGGAGGGGAAAAACAAAGGAGGAGGCAACAATGCTTGATAAGAAATACACTCATTACCTTGCTCATGTAATTGTAACCCCTCTGTACTGTATTTTCACAATTAAAAAAAAAACTTAATAATACATAAAAGAAGGTTGTAGGCAATGGTATTTGTTCACCGGTATAGCTTCAAAGTTGGATGGAAGACACACAATTGCCAAGTCATGTTTACAGGAGCAGGCTGGGCCTGAACCTGATAGCTATTCAGGCCTTGCTGTGCCTCGTATTTTTAACCTCATCTCCTCTCCCTCCAGCGCCTGATATACTGCCAGGCACACTCTCTTGATTTCCTGGGAAGGCAAAGGCCTCTTTCTCTCAAGGCAATTCTTTTTTTTTTTTTTTAATTAACACTGCTGTGCAGACTACGCAGCCACATACAGGAACAACGAGGTGTGAACTCGCTCGCTGCACTCAGTCATGCTCCTGATATTTATGGAGTGATGATTCAAGCGCCCAGCCTGTTTGTTAGCAAGTTCAGCAGCTGTGTGTGAAGGATGTTGTTAGAAGCTCCCACACTATTAACAGCCCAGCTTTGTGCAAACGCTCACAGGGAGGCAAAGACAAACCTAGGAACAGCCCGAGTCACTCACTACAGATGTTGGCCCAAAGCAAGAGGAACGGTGAACTTGTCAAGCCCGGATTTTGTGCATTTTAGTTTAGTTTCATTTCACCGTGTAATTCAATGCAACGGTGAGAGGCCGTGGGAAAAAATTAAAATAAAGAGTCCGGGCCTTTGCTTTAATCCTGAACACCAGCCAATTCACTGTGGAACTAAAAGCAAACTGCTTCTTTGAGATGACAGCTTCTCATAAAATGTAGAGATAGATTCAAATTTTGATTGTTTTTTTTTCCTCTTGAGGCATAAGCAAATCAGAAGAGGTTGCTAGCTTAGAAAAGTATGCTTCCATGAATTCCACAATTAAAAATACTGAAGAGAGTAATCTAAGGAGTTAGAGGTGTGGCTCAGTTGGTAGAACACTAACCAATGAGCAAAAGCGTCAGGTACCAAGTTCAAGACCTGGTCTCAGACCAAAAAAATAAAAATTACCTAAAGTTCCTTCTAAATCTAATACTTCCTGTCCCTTCTAGGGAAGGAAAAAAAATAACAACTACAAAAAAAGATAAAAAACTATGTTGACTTTTGCACATCAACAATAAACCTCATAGCAAACCTACCTACACTGCAAAGAATCTAACACATAGGGTTGATGTTTGTTTCACAGCTGGAGTAGATGCTCTCGGTGCCTGTCCGTCTCAGAAACAGCAGATAGAGCTGGCAAAATGAGTGAACTCATTTCTATCTGTTACTGCATCTGTACCCATCGCTCCTTGTTTTTAACCTTTTCTTCTGGACCCTTTAGTGTCTTTCTCCTCTACCTGTGGAAAACATAAAAGAGAGATGAAATAGAGAACCTGTCATTATGCAGCAAAGTAAATAATTCCAAACTTCACTTGGTCTGGATGAATCAGAAATAATGTTACATAGCCAGAAACTGAATAAGAATAAATGTATTAAGACAATTAGAACTTCTGTAGACAAGATGGAGAATGGATTGGTATGAAGTAGTATTTAGTTTTAATGCCCAGACTGAGTTTGTCAGGTTCTTACTTGGATCATAATCATACTATGATACCGGAAATTGGTAGAGACTGGTTCAGATTGACCTTGGAAGTGAACGTGAAAATGGTGACCTTGGACTGACCTCCCAAAGCAGGCGTGTATCTTTTTTAAGTGCTTTGCATATTTTAATTGTGTGCCGTATGTTTGCAAAAGGATGATTTTTGTGCTGACTAGGGATTTGTCACTCTAAATTTTGTTTGTCTCCCATGGCTACCTTAAAAACATATTTTTGAGAAGCCTGGCGAATTTAATCCTAGGCAGATGGCATACCACTGTGATACGGATTTTTTCCTCATGCAGGCACTGGGAGAAGAGCCACAATTTCCTGGCTGTTGGAGAGATGGCTAGCTTTCTCTGAGGGAATTAATGATGCTCGTAATGATGCGTAGAAGGATCCTACAGGAACAGAAAGCACGCACATCTTGAAGGAAATCTCTCTGAGACTTGCATCTTTTGTTTCTTCACAGGGGTGATGGGTGAATATGAACCCAAAATAGAGGTACAGTTTCCAGAAACGGTCCCTACAGCCAAAGGAGCCACAGTCAAGCTGGAATGCTTTGCTCTAGGAAAGTAAGTTCTGGTTTCTTGTCCTCCCGTCTCCCTTCGGTTGAGGCAGGTAGAGAATTTTCCTCGTGCTGTTCACAGCCCTGGGTGCTGAGGTGACAGAAATCAAGCAGGGGCTTTCTCTTTGCAATTCTGCACATGCTTCTTTGCTTCTGCCCTCTGAGCATGGAGAAGAGACAGACAATGGTGCCAAGATTGGGCTACTGCCATCGACATGGCCACAAATGGAAAGAGAATGGGCAATTCTGAAGAAAGTATTTTGTTCTATTGCTCTGACCTGTCATGCGCATGCCGTCTAAACCAGAGTGACAGGGAAACAATGACCTTCATTTAAGGTACAGGCAAGCTGAGTATGGGGGAAATAGGGACTTGTATTCTGGCCCTAGCTCACAGAAGCTACATCGTATTATTTTTTTCTTGAATTTCTTTTTAAATTGTCAGTTTTCTTCTTCCCTTCTTTGGAGTTCCTTCTGACTGACTACAAATAGTTAAGATCTGCTATTCTCTAAGAGGGTCTCTGTTTTACAGAGTGGTCTGAAAATTAGTCACACTTTTATTATTTAGTCTGGATTGTCCTTAAAAGAGCTACTTGGGAACCAATTAAAATTTCCATAGAGTATCTGCCAGAAGCTATAAAGAAATGAAATGCAAATCAGTGTGGATTTCTATGTGCCAGTAACCAACAGAAAGGCTTTGGCAAAAATAATATCATCCAGAGTGAGACTTTTTAGATCTTTGAAAGATTTTTTTTAATTTGTTATTGTGATTATTGTTGTTAATAGTAGTAGTAGTAGTATTCTTTTTGCAAGTCTTGGGGCTTGAACTCAAGACCTAGGCACTGTCCCTGGGCTTTTTGGGTGGGCTCAAGGCTAGTGCTCTACACCTTTGAGCACTTTCCAGCATTTTTATAGTTAATTGAAGATTAACTATCAAAGAGTCTTAAGGATTTTCCTGCCCAGGCTGGCTTTGAACCGTGATCCTCACATCTCAGCCTCCTGAGTAGCTAGGATTGTTGGCATGAGCCATCAGATGCCAGGCTCTTCTATGGAGTTTAAGTAAACCATATCAATCTGTACTCACAATACCTCTATCTGACATCAATTGCTAACTCCCTCTTTTCCCTGTGCCTAAATGTTGACTGAGGCAGCAGCATTAACTCTTGCTGAGGGCTTTTAAAAGATGTCGATTTATGAAGTAATTTTGTGTTTTGCACAAAATGTAGAATATGTTCCATTTTTATACATTTCATTTTTATTGCTAGTAAAAAGATGGTATTTTTTTCATATGTTTTCAAGTCAGCTACATTAGTCATCTTTATATTGGTACAAAACAATGCAGTGGAGGTTTTTGGTTGTTTCTTTTTTTAACTTGCCATAGTAAATAACTTGTGACAAGCTGGGCACAATGGCTCACACTGAGGTATGAGAGGCTGAGGTTTGGAGGATCACAGTTTGAGGCAAACAGTTCACAAGATCTCATATCAACCATTTAAAAGTCTGGGTGCAATAATGCACATTTGTCATCCCAGATATGCATGAAGCATAAAGACAAGGATTATAGTCCAGGCCAGCTAAAGCAAAAAATGAGATCAAAATGTAATAGAAATATGAAAGTCTAGAAAGTCTAGAAGCATAAGGGGTAGAGACCTGCCTACCAAGTGTCAGGCCCAGAGTTCAAGTCCCACTACCACCAAAAATGTATGATCTAGCTGCAGGACTGAATGCTGTACACACATGTTGTTAAACCAATATGGAAAACATTTTTTTAAAATCTATGATTTATTGCTGGGAACAAAACAGGTTAATGATGTGATTATGTTTTATATTTGAAAGTGTGTGTGTGTGTGTGTATGTGTGTGTGTGTGTGTGTGTGTGTGTGTGTGTGTGTGTGTGTGTATGGTGTGTGAAATCAACCGGAGAAAGGAAGAAGCAGATCACTGGCAACTGGATACTGGATATGGATATTCTAGGCATATATCTTGTAAAAAAAAAAAAAAAAAAAAACCTGCAAGCTGACACCTTGACAGATCTTCTGTGGAGAAAGTAAAATCCCTGAATTAAAGTCTATTCACACTGCTTGAGCAGCAGCAGCCTCCACACAAAGGACTCTAATTGGGCTCCTCCAGGCTCCACAGAGATGTTTGGATTTGCACTTCACCTGTTGAAACCCACCATCATCACCCACTTAAGACCAGAAAGCATGCATTAAAGGCATGTGTTAGGAGAGTTTCTCGTTAGTGTAAAGAGACCCATAATACACTCTGATAGAGCCCTTTCTGCATTTGGAGCAAGTGTCTGTCTAATAAATCTGTGGTCTTTAAAAACAAATACAGTACAGATGATAGCTCTAATCTTTTAAATACCATCTCAGGTTTCCCACAGAAGATTAGCAAGTCTTGAGTCTAATTACTTCTCTGTTGAGTGTTTTTGTGAAATATAAATAAGGAAATAATTGTATTCCCCCCCGCTTCCCCCTTCCATCCTCCACCCCCAACTAGGAAGCCACAATCTTAAAAGCTGTGGTTCGCTCTCTAAACCACTGACTTCCAGGCTGCTCCAGCTTGCCCTTCTTGAAGCTGAACATGCCTTCTAAACATGAACGGCAGGGCAATGAAAGATGCCTTGAGAGCCTATAAAGACCTCACAGATTGCTTCTTTATCTCACTATGTTAAGTAAAGATTCCCCAAACCACCTTCCAAGTGGATTGCTATAAATTGCTAAGGCTCTCCAGCTATAAGTCTCAACAACTACATTGTCCCAGATGCAGTGCCTTCTTTGAATTGCTCACCTGTCAACCAATTAGGCTGTATCTCCCAGATTTTTTGTTGTTGTCATTTCTGTTCATTTTAGGTTTTCTCAAAGGCAGTCACTTTTTTGGACAGAAAGTTTTAAGAATATTATATTACTGCTGTCTGTTATCTCATTAAAACTGCAGAAGGGACAGATAGTTGGTGTCCAAATACATTTCACATTATGTGAGTCGAGAATTCAGATGGGGGGGGTATTTTGCTTTACGTAGCATCACTTTCGACGTCACTGTCAGGTGGGCTGGTGTTGAGAGCTCAGGAGTTTCACTCATATTTCTGGTGGGAATTTTACTGAGATGATCGTTTAGGGGACGCTACTATGAGACCCCCATGGCTGGTATTCAAACTAACCTGTAGATGCCCCATAAGGAGCATTCCAAGAGAAAAAGAGTGAGGGCTGTCAATTTCCTCATGTCTACGTCTGGAAGTTGACACACTACTTCCATTTTATTAGCCAACGTAGTCAAAGAGCCACCATGTTGAAGGGGGAGGGGGAGGGAATCTCACCTCAGTGGGAGAAATTTTTAGGAATTTGTAGTCATCTCCATTCCATCACGAGCGGGCATGAACCATTTGTAGGATGGTATTGATAACTTATGAAACATGTAGTTGAAAATATATAAGCATATAAAATTCCGTTTTTGGTAGGCACAAAGGCTCAAGTCTATAATCCTAGATACTTGAGGTGCAGAGATTTGGAGCTTTGTGGTTCAAAGCCAGCCTGGGCAAAAGTTTGATGAGATTCCATCTGAACCAATCTCTAGGGACAATATCCAAGCTGTCAGCCATCCTAGCTATACAGACAAATGTACCTTCCGGGCATAATAGCCCTTTCCTGTGTAACATCTACAAATAGGAGGATTGCAGTCCAGGCTGGCCCAGGAAAAAATACAAGACTCTGTCAAAGTAACCAACACAAAAAGGTCTGGCAGTATGTTCCATATGCTAGAGTACATGTCTAGCCAATACAAGGCTTTGATTTTGAACCCAGTACTGCAAAACCTTTTTAAAAAATTCCAATGATAATTCTGCATAAGAGATGGATTACCCTGTTTACAATCCAGGACTAAAACGCTCCTATTGGAGATATAGACACAGCTAACATAATAATGATGTACCAGGAAGGAAGTTTGAGAAAAGCTCTAATGAGTTTACATGTTTAGAATCCAGACGAAAGGCGTTGTTTGTGTAGACTCAAATAGAAGGTAGGGATTTCTCTTAATTCAATTCACTCCTTTTTCATTCTTGCTACCAGCCCAGTACCAACTATTATCTGGCGGAGAGCTGATGGAAAGCCAATTGCAAGGAAAGCCAGAAGACACAAGTCAAATGGGATCCTGGAAATTCCCAATTTCCAGCAGGAAGATGCTGGCTTGTACGAGTGTGTGGCTGAGAACTCCCGAGGCAAAAATGTAGCCAAGGGACAGCTGACTTTTTATGGTAAGTTTGCGATTCCAGGCCATCGTTTGTAATTGTGTAGAACTTCATGGTATTAAAATCATTCACTGGGAGATTTACTGGCAAGCGACTTTCTTTTTTTCCCCCTGTGGTAGAAATTGTATAGGACTGTGTGAAACTCTTGATTTGTTAAATAATTAGCATTTGCTGGAAGATGCTGGGCGGGCAGGGTGTGGGTGAGGGAGCAAGGATGTTGACAGAGCAGAGAGGAAGAAATTAGGCTGATGTGTTTGCAAGATGGATGGAAGTGTGAACACACTTCCAAAGAAGCCTGATTTTCTGTCTTTCCTCTTCCCATCGAGCTGAAAACCTGACATAGGAAATAGATAATTATTCCTACTCTTAGTTTATTTGAAGAAGAGAAAAAAAGGAAGAAAGGAAGAAAAGAACAAGGAAAGAAAGAAAGAGAGAAAGAAAGAAGGGAGGGAGGGAGGGAGGGAGGAGGGAGGGAGGGAAGAAGGAGGAAAGGAAGGAAGGAAGGAAGGAAGGAAGGAAGGAAGGAAGGAAGGAAGGAAGGAAGGAAGGAAGGAAGGAAAGAAGAAGGAAGGAAGGAAGGAAGGAAGGAAGGAAGGAAGGAAGGAAGGAAGGAAGGAAGGAAGGAAGGAAGGAAGGAAGGAAGGAAGGAAGGAAGGGGAGAAAGAAAGTAGGTCAATGTTTCAACTTCACTTGGATTTTGACTCGGGCTAGCGTTAATCCTTTGTAATTATTTCTGTTTGGTGGCGATTTATTGCTGTACTGTGAACAGTTCCAAATTGCACACTACTCATTTGTATGTAGTTCTTCTCAGAGTGGAGCATGAGAAATCACTCCCATCTCCCACCCGTACCAAAGACTTTATGCTTACCTGTTTCTTTTCCAATCAAATCATCAACATTCATCCAACTACGTTATAAATATGAATTCTCTCTCCTATGGTCATTAGTGAGCCTATCTTGAAAGCCCTGTTAGGATATTGATTTGAAATCCAGGAAACAAACATATTTTATAGTAGATGGGATTTTTAGTAATTTCAGTAGATGGGAAAAACTGAGTTCCACCAGATCAAAGCATGCCTGAAAACCATCTCCCTGAGTTATAGGATATAAATGTTGCAGCTTAATAATTACATAAGTATGGATTGGCTGAGTACCCGTGGCTCACACCTGTCATCCTAACTACTCAGGAGGCTGAGATCTGAGGATCATGATTCCAAGGCAGCCTGGCCAGGAAAGTCCCTAAGACTCTTATCTCCAATAAACTACATTTTTAATAAGCCATGAGCTCAAGTGGTAAAACACTATCCTTGAGTAAAAGAAGCTCAAGGACAGTGCCCACGCCCTGATTTTAAGCCCCAGGACCAGCAGAATAATAATAATAATAATAGCAACAACAATAATAATTGTTTGAAGGAATGACATCATATATCAAAACGAGGAGAGCACTTTGGAGGGGCAAGTTGAAGCAAAAGCTTTGAATGTCCTTTTCTTACAAGAAATAGCCGATAGTACAGGAACTTATTTATTTCCCTAATAACTTCTTTCAAAGCAAGTGGCCCAAGAATTCTATTCAGTAGCCAAACGAGGTGTTTTAGAAGCTTGAACATAAACTAGGGGAGATTTGCCAGCCTCACTGACCTTAATCACGTGACCATTTCATAGTCTCACACTATTGATGCAGCTGGTAAAATAGAAGAGCACATAAGATTCTAGAAAGTTCTTCACACAATGAACTAGGAAAAATTTGAATAAATCTGCATGGCCTTTATACATATATTTTTCTATGTTTACCAAATGACAGACTTCACCTTTGATTTTTAATCTTTCTTACATTATGGTAGTTGATAATTTGGAGGGAGAATAAAAGCAGATCATACGGCTGTACCTGTTTGGGATTTATTTTTCTCACCAGTCTAATAATTACTTCTTGCATGTCACACATAGTGACAACTTGATTTTACTCCAGTAATTAAGCAATGATTCTCTTTTTCTTGCCTGGTCAAATAGACTTTTCATCTTGGTGGCAGCTCTTCCTAAATGTTATTTGAGTTCTCAGCTGATTGAATACGCTCATTTTCATTTCATGATTTTCTTTTAAGTAAAATACTTGCTTTCAGTAAGTTACAAAAAAGATATGAAGCCAGGCACTGGTGGCTCACGCCTGTAATCCTAGCTACTTGGGAGGCTGAGATACTACAGTTCAAAGCCATCCTAGGCAGGAAAATCGGTGAAACTCTTACCTCCAATTAACTACCTCCCCAAAAAAGCCACAAGGGGAGCTGTGGATCAAGTGGTAGAGTGCTAGCCTTGAGCTTCAAAGCACCCAGGCCCTGAGTTCAAGCCCCAGGACTGGGACAAAAAGGAAGAGGAGGAGGAGGAGGAAGAGGAGGAGGAGGAGGAAAAAAGAAAAGAAAAGAAGGAAGAAAGGAAGGAAGGAAGGAAAAGAAAGAAAGAAAGAAAGAAAGAGGAAGGAAGGATGAAAGAAAGAAAGAAAAAAGAGAAAGAAAGAAAGAAAGAGAATGAAAAAGGAAGGAAGGAAGGAAGGAAATTCTCTGTAACTAAGGCTTTCCATACTGCTTTCTAGTGGTTAGATGCTTCCTTTTCTGGAAATATAACAGTCTAGGATGCCTGTGATGGAGAGTCAACTCTGCCCCTGGCCCCAGCTTTATACAAGGGGATGTTTTTCAGGGATCCAACTTGAAGAAGAAAAACACGCACTAACAAAGTTTGCCCTTAAATGCAGTTATCTGTTACCATGTGTGAGGAGAAGGATAGGATAAAGTTTGCTTCATTTATAGTTATTCCTCACTGTCAGCCACCACTGGAGTTAGAGACTCATCAGTTCAGTTGGCTGTCATGCATTTAGCTATTACATCTATGTAGATCATTTTGTTATTCTCCAACAACACATTACTGACATAGAAATTATCGCATTGTTTTCATCCTCACAGGAGAGCTTAATTATATGTAAGTACTTGGCTCTTGTTTTTTTGTCTCACTTTTGAAATTTTTCTTGTTCTGAATTTTCCCTTTGAACCACAGCACCATTTCCAGTTTTCTGGTGGTTCATTGGAGAAAAGAGTCTCACAGACTTTCCTACCTGGGCTGGCTTTGAACAGTATTCCTCAGATCTCAACCTCCTGAGTAGCTGGGATTACAGTGTCAGGCAGAAATTGCTTACAACATTGAGGTGTGCTAGGAATTAGAAACTAAAGGACAGAGCTTAGAAACATGAGAATCATTTTCACATTTTTTTTGTTTTGTTTAGGTTTTTTTTAGGTTTTGAATCCAAGCTGTTGTATACCATTCATTGTAACTAATTTGCTTACTAGGACAAGTTTCTTACTCCTACTCTGGCTTCATAAAATGACATTTTTTTTCCTTTTTGCATTAAGACCATTGAACTTGTTCCCAAAGGCCCTGAGCATGAGCCTGTGGCGTTCCCCATTTCAAAGTCACTGCAGTTTAAGTCCCTTTACCTGGTCCCTATGTTCCTGTGTTACCTGTGTTTTTAATATGTGAAGGACTCAGAAACTTTTTTCCCTTCCAAAGTTACCTGCCTAGCATGGTCTACTTTTAATCTACTCTTCCATTTGGTCATTCATTCATTTATTGTGTATTTGTATGTACGTGTATGTGGGTGTAGGTGTGCGTGCACACATGCACACACGCGTGTGCATGTGTGTGAGAGAGAAAGGAAGGAAAGAAGGAAGGAAGGCAGAAAGAAAGAAAGAGAGAGAGAGAGAAAGAAAGAAAGAAAGAAAGAAAGAAAGAAAGAAAGAAAGAAAGAAAGAAAGAAAGAAAGAAAGAAAGAAAGAAAGAAAGAAAGAAAGAAAAAGAAAGAGTACTGGTGTTTAAACTTAAGACCTTTATTCTCACTTGGCTTTTTGGCTCAAGGTTGGTGCTCTACCATTTTAGCCACACCTTCACTTTCAGCTTTTTTGCTGGCTAATTGGAGACAAGACTCTCTCGGATTTTGTCTTCCCTAGCTGGCTTTGAACTGTGGATCTTCAATCCATGCTTCACACCCTTCTGAGTAGCTGAGATGATAAGAGTGAGCTCAGCTCATATATTTGTCTTGACATCAAAAATTTCCTACAAATAGATATGTTATTAAAATGGTAGACATCTTCCAATGACATCTATAATACATTATACATTTGCTCATCAACTGTCTTTCATTACCTACAGTGTGGCAAACACTGTTAGGTACCAGGGCTGCAAGAGGAATTCTTGCCCTCCAGGATCTGGTATTTGACTAACCGTTAACCAACATGGTGCTACTACATAAATTAATGAACTAGAAAAGTTCATATGGTGGTAAGAGTTATGAAGAAAATACTTTGGCTGGCACCAGAGAAAGCAACTACAGAAAGACTGTAAGATAAAGTAGTCAGGAATGCTTGTCTGAAACTTGTCACTATGCTGAATCCTGGACCATGAGCATGAGCCAGCTTTCTTCAGGAAGAACTTTCCAGGCCAGATATTCCCTGAGACATATATTTGAGCTGCAGTAAAGAAAACAGAATAATATCATGAAGGGCAAGGCAAAAGAAGGTGTAGACTATGTACACTGAGAAAACTGAGTTTTATTCTCAGTCATGAGTAACCATTGTGTGTGTGTGTGGATGTGAGAGAGAGAGAGAGAAAGAGAGAGAGGAGGGAGAGAGAGAGAGGGAGGAAGGGAGAGAGGGAGGGAGGGAGGGAGAGAGGGAGAATTTGTGTGATGTCAATACTGGAGCTTGAACTCAGGGCCCCCTCACTCTCCTTTAGCTTTATTTGCTCAAGGCTAGCATACTACGACTTCAAACATCTCCACTTCTGGCTTATGGCTGTTTAACTGCAGATAAGAGTTTCTCAGAACTGCCTGCCTGAGCTGGCTTGGAACCTCAGTCCTCAGATCTCAGCCTCCTGAGTAGTAGGCATGAGCCGCTGGTGCCTGGCTCATTGGAGGATTTTAAGTTAGGGAATGAATCAGTCTGATTCATTCTTTTCAAGTCCACGCTA